GAAGCAGTTTGAAGTAGTGAAGTGAAGAAACGAATTAGAGCCGCTGACAGATCTTTTAAAAGGATGCCCATTTCCTTTCTCCGGCCCCCCCTTTTTCCTCAGACCGAATGGAACATCCCATCCCGAGAGTGGTTTGGCACTCGGGACTGAACGAGTTGCAACTGACAACATCGCAGGGGGTAAGTTGACTTCTGTGAGTTTTACATACCGCAAGGAGCCGGAGAGCCGAGGTTATAAGACACAGCACAGCTGCATGTGCTCCTGTAAAGTTACCCCGTCGTCTTTTTCTTTATACTGAATTTTCTTTTCCTATTTGTTTTTAAAGCAACGCCAAAACGCGGAGTGAAGTTGTAGGCTTCTGTCTTCGGGGGAATGCTTCCCCAGCCTGCCAGTAAAGGTAAGTGTATCCATCTGTAGGGAAGCTGAAGTTGATTAACTTTACCTTTTTATCGTTGCTAATAAAAGAGCTGCAAACAGTAATTAAATTGAAGGCAATTTATGTTAACAGCTTGCTAGAGGTAGAATCCAGTTTAAAGAAGCCTATTTTTTGGATAAAAATTGTATTACCATTTTTCTTTTATTTTCTTTTATTTATTTTCTTGTTTTTAAGAAAATATTAATAGTCTGCAGACATTTAGGTAAATTAATCTGCAGTGGCAATGTCACAAAAGAGAAGCTTGTGCTTTATGTCCATGTAATTATAAAGTTGGTTTTCAATAAATAAAATGGAAACATGTTTAAGGTTTGTTTAAGAGAAAACACCTTATTAAATGTGCATTCAGGAAACTAACATGTCATTCCCTCCTGTGGATTGTAGAGCAGAGTGTGGCAGTCCTTTTTGTCCATCCACATCTGAAGACATGTTGCACGGGACTTTGTCAGCTTGGAAAGCTCTGCTGCTGATTGTCCCGCTGTGGGATTGCCTCTTTGCTCTGGGACTGCAGCCCACGAGATGGCCACTGTATTCCCGAAAGCCTCTGCTCCTTGCTTGGAACGCCCCGATTGAAGATTGTGCCCCGCGGCATAGAATTCATTTCCAGCTGGACCAGTTCCAGATTGTGGCTACACCCAATGAGGGCTTTGTTAATCAGAATCTGACCATCTTCTACAAGGAGCGCTTGGGCTTGTACCCCTATTTTGAACAAGATGAAACACCGGTGAATGGGGGACTTCCGCAGGTGGCCAGTCGCACACGGCACCTGGAGAAAATGCCAGAAGATGTTAAGAAGTACATACGTTCAGAATGGGCCACTGGTTTAGCTGTTATCGACTGGGAGGATTGGCGTCCCCTCTGGATACGTAACTGGGACGCCAAAGACATTTATCGCAGACGTTCTGAGGAATTGGTGCGCCAGAAGAACCCAACCTGGCTTCCTGATCAGGTGAAAAAAGTGGCCCAGCAGGAGTTTGAGTTGTCTGCCAGGCTGTTCATGTTAGACACACTGAAGCAAGCTAAGAACCTGAGGCCCAACCAGCTGTGGGGTTTCTACCTGTTTCCTGACTGCTACAACCACAACTACGTGCGCACTCTGGAGAGCTACACGGGCCGCTGTCCTGATGTGGAGGTGTCTCGCAATGACCAGCTGAAATGGTTGTGGACTGAGAGCACAGCCCTCTTCCCTTCCATCTACATGAGCAGCTTGCTGCGCTCATCAGCCGCCGGACGCCAGTTTGTGCGGAACCGCGTGAAAGAGGGGATGCGTTTGGCCTCATCGGGCGATGGCTTGGCACGTCCTGTCTTTGTGTACACGCGGCCCACGTACATGAACTCCCTGGAGCAGCTGACCGAGGTGACAGTCTAACTTTGGAAACAGTGCCAGTGTTGAATTTGGTTCCTCTTCCTGGAACTTTTTTCCTGCTTTTTCCTTTAAGACACTAATGAAGTTTCGAACCAGCCATGTTACTGACTATATTCCGAAACATTTCTTCTATCTTTTTCCTGCTAATTCTTAGTAAAAGCCTGACATATAGAACCGTCACTGAGCACTAATGTTAATGCATGCTGTGTAGATTCATCTCTTATCTGCTGCTACAGTCCCTTCCTGTGCTGCTGGCATTCAGACACCCCAATACCTTTCATTTGCGCAGAGTAGGCAGGATGGGTGTTGGTCAAGTTAAAAGTCACTCTAAACACCCTTATTTGCTTATAGGAGAATGAAGAGCTGGCCCTCTACTTCACATACAGTAGCCTATGAACCTCTGACACTTACTTAGCTGACTGTTTTCCTTTTGTTTGACCTGTAATTTTTTGCAGACTGACCTTGTGTCCACGATCGGGGAGAGTGTGGCCCTGGGAGCAGCTGGAATAATCATGTGGGGAGATATTGCTTATGCACACAACAAAGTAAGCGTCCACACATCAATTGCGAAACGAACACATCAATCACTCAGATATGGTGTATGCATTTTTTTGGAACAGATGTTATCATCTTAACTTTTGAGCTGCTCTTCTCGTCTGTGACATGCGAAGGCATTTCATACTAGGAGATATTTCTCAAAGTTCAGGGTTTACGGTTAATGTCTTTGGCCACATGATCAGGTGCTGATTAAACACATATACGCTGACTGGGGCTTTGACTTCGATTCCATTTTGGGGCATTAAATCCAAAATCTTGAAATCATCATTAAAAAAAGGGATGTTTTGCAACTGCAGCAGTTGACCTGTTTATTTATTTCTTCAAAGTTTAGTTTTCAAACGTATTGGACAAGGATACATTTGAAAAGGCTCAAATCATGTCATAATATAACAACACACACGCAAAACTAGACTTTTGTAACGATTTGAAGTGCAAAAGGCCCAAGCATAAAGAGACTTCAACAAGACAATTTAATTTCCGCACAGTGAGCTAACAAAACTTTTTCTGTAATTTTACATGTTTATTTCTTTCAATTTAAGCCCAAACAACACTTCTATATTATGCAAACAAAAAATCTTCGATCTTTGTTGGAAAAAACACTTGTTTTCCTTATATTAAAATATCTCAGGGATTAAATGTGTAGGTAAAGTTCTTTACACACCGATATAGAGGAGCTTCATTGGTCCAACCCACTTAAGATCAAAGTGGACTGTTCAATGTAAAATCATTTTGACATCCGTGGATTAGAGTGACTGTTAATCTAGCAGTCCCCAGCACCACTGGATGAGAGCATGGGTAGGATCAGTAGGAATGTAACTGAGTACATTTACTCAGGTACTTTATTCAGAATGAATGTATTTGTACTTTAAGTATTTCCACACAGCGTCCCGCTTTTACTCCATTACGCTTAACCAGCTTGGATAAATAATCTCTTTCACGCCTCCAAGCTATAAAAACGCATATTCCAGACTATTGATGCTCAGATCACTCCTATTTTATACTCTTTACACTGGCTCCCAATAGATTTAGGATTCTGGCATTTGCATACAGAGCACTTTAGTTATCCCAGCTGCTCGCTGTCTTCATTCACAAGCTCAGAATCTGTTGTTCTGCGTACGTGACTAAAGACCAGGTATTTTTTATTATAAAATACCCATTTTATGGGCTATTATGACACTTAATTTTCCTATTTATTTTACTCTTTGTTGTGTAACAGCGCTTTGTGACATCTTTCTGTGAAAGACGCTTCATAAATAAACTTGTGCACACAACCAAAGTAAGCATGCACACAATGATTGTGAAATTAAACACATCACTTGGATACGTCGCATTTATTTTTAACCACAGATGATATCATCTAAACTTCTGAGAGCATGCTGATTAATAAACAGCCTTTACTCACTTACAAAGTGTATTTATAGCAATTTGTACTCCATACCAGAGCTTTAGTTACTTCATATTTTTCAGATTAATTGCGCAGTACTTGAAGATTTCATGTATCCACTTATTTTTTCCCATAGACCACCTGCTCTGATCTGGATAAATATCTGCGGGGCACACTGAGTCAGTACCTCCTGAACGTTTCCACGGCAGCAGAACTGTGCAGCCAGACCCTTTGCGGCTCTCACGGGCGATGTCTGCGCAGAAACTCAAACAGCGACGTTTACTTGCATCTGAATCCCCTCACCCACGACATCGTCGAGAAGAACGGCAAGCTGACGGTCACCGGTGAGCTCGGCAAAGCAGACCGGTTAAGTTTTGAAGCAGACTTTCAGTGTCAGTGTTACAGCGGGTATCAGGGGGAGCTCTGCGATCAAACAGACCCGCTACACCAAAAAGGGACGGCGACTCGAGCCACAGCAGTGGCTCTGCAGTGTTTGATCTTACTGATTGTCTGCCTGCTCATCTGTTAATACCTATTATATAACTGTAAAAGTCTAAAAGGAGCACAAGAGGAGAGGTGAAGGGAAGATAGGCGTGTGTGGTTTTTTTCTGTTGCTGTATATCGTAAGAACCGCTGTGGAAATTCTAAGGTAGTGTTTGTTTCTAACTTTTAATCATTTAAAAAAAGAAAAAAACTTGCTGGAAATGACCCTGTTTACATTGTCCTCTCACTCGCCGCTTGCCAAGGTGTCCATGCTTCTTGTAGAGAGGATGCTTCTGTGGTAAATGCTGCGAATGAGTAAATGTATGTGGTGAAAGTGGAAAACGATTCACTTAAATCTGATAACAGCACAATATATTTGAAGTGCCTAATTTCTTTTAAATCTTCTTTAAATTGGCCTCTTTCTGACATCTGATGTGTTTATAGAGGCATTCGCAGTGTTATTATTTATTTGAATGTATTTTTTATACGATATTATTGTCCAAAACATGACTACTACTTTTTTAAAAGGGTGACACATCTCCACTCTACGAGCCTCATGTTTCAGTGGCCTTTTGACTCCAGAAGCACAGTGTTTCTCATATTGATGTCTCTCATACAAAAATGGCATTTGTCGGTGTAAATAAACTTCTTTGTTGAGGTTGTTGTGTTTTAATTTAAGGCTGCCTAAGCGACACTGGGCGAGGGGCCATGGTCACAACTGACACAGGAGGGAGAACTCAGGTGTATTAGTGGTTCAGGTTTTGCGCAGGCGGTTTCGTGAGAAAGTTTGTGCGGAAAAGCCATTCAGGCTCAGACAAATATAGCATCTCCAATCAGCCTAGGATGAATGTGTTTGGACTGTGGGAGGAAATTGGAACGCTCCAGCTAACGTGCAAGTTCAAACCCAGAACCTTCCGGTTGTGAGGCCATGGTGCTAACCGCTGTGCCAGCCAGTTTTGGATAAATAAACTGCTTTATCGTGCTTTGTGTGTATTTTTAGTAAAGTAAGTGTGACGCTTTTCTTTTTTTCTTTTTTTTTTTGTAACTACATAAGGAGATAATATAGCTGAGATATGGTTTTGGGAGTAATACAGGCATGATTTTGTTGTCAGCAGTTGAGAGTGAAGCCTCTGCGGGAAGCCTCTGTGGCCAGGGGAGTCCAAGCCAGCTAGTTCTCAGGGATTGACTCATTTTGCCAGCAGCACCCTCATACCCCCTTCCCCATGTAATTGTAGGTTTTCGTTAACCACTGGTTATTTTTATATGCTTTTAAGAGTTGAGCAAAGCACGCATTTAAATTGCAAGGTGGAAGAGTTCATTATGGCTTCGCTTGGTGGTTTTTCAGAAAACGTCAAGCTTTCTTAAGTCCCCCAATAAACTGTTGATTGTCATATTCATATTCTTTTTAAATTCAAACAATCTGAAAACTGTTTTCAAGCTGTACAGTGTGATGGGAGGAAGTGCTAACTTGCCTGTGACTTTAAATCTGTGTTCTCCATAGAATGATTTGCATGTCTCTTGTTATTGGTTGTTGGAGGTCCTGTGGACACTTCTAATTGGTTCAGCGTTTGTTACTTCCCATTTTTCCTGAATATGTGTTTCAGATCATGAGACTTGTGGGTATTTCACAAGGCCACAAGCTCCAATCCTTCTCTACTTATAAAGTCGGTAAGTCAGTGTTTGCAAGCTTAATGTTAGTTAATTTCACACATTATTTTGACACTAGAGCCTGTTATTTCTAGCCACGTTTACTGCATTACACAACATCTGTAATGATCAGAAAGCTTTTGGCGTGTTAAAGGTGTTTGAAAAGTAATAAAGAAACAAGTAGTAAATAGACACATTTAAAATTCCTGGCTCGTAAACAGTAGAAACTCTTAAAACTCTTATTGATTTGATTTGCCTTACAACTGAAAAAGCTTTGTTTAAACAAATAGCAACATTTTGCAATATGCTCTTAAAATTTCATAATACTGCTGGGTAACATAAACACTGTTTCCTTCCTGCCAGGGATGAGGTCCTTGAAGCCTGCGGTGCTGCTGCACTTAATTCTGATCAGCCTCGTCTCAGGGCTGCACTATCCAAATTCACCTTTTTCCAAAGTGCCTTTCCTGACTGTGTGGAACGCCCCAACTGCCAAATGCCTCTCTCAGTATGGCGTTAACCTTGACCTGGGGATGTTTAACATTGTCCACAACCAGAATCAAACCTTTATGGGTCAGAACATAACCATCTTTTATGATGATAAGCTTGGTCTGTATCCAAGGTATTCCCCCCAGGGAGAGGCTATTAATGGCGGGGTTCCACAAAACAGCAGCCTTGACAAACATCTCAAAGTTGCCAGGGAGAATGTAAACACCTATATCCCTGACAGGGGTTTCCCAGGCCTGGGTGTGGTGGATTGGGAAAGTTGGAGACCTGAATGGGAGAGAAACTGGGACACTAAGAAGATATACCAGGACGGGTCAAAAGCACTAGTGAGGTCTAAGCATCCAGACTGGAGCCCCAAACAAGTAGATGACGCAGCACGCATGGAGTTTAGCAAAGCTGCGAGGAATTTCATGGAGGAAACTCTGAAACTGGGGCAGGCAGCAAGACCAGATGGTTTGTGGGGCTATTATGGTTTTCCAAACTGCTACAACTACTACAGCAACAAAAGCACAGGCTACACAGGGGAGTGTCCAGCTGTGGAGTTAAAGAGAAATAACAGGCTTCTATGGCTGTGGAGCACCTCCTCTGCTCTGTATCCCGACATCTATCTCAGCATCCAGATGCAAAGTCTCAGCAGAGAAGTGCTCCTCTACTGCCACCACCGCATCCTGGAGGCAATGAGAGTAGCGGATCAGGTGACTCCGTTCGCACCGCCCGTGTACGCCTATGCTCGCATCGTCTACACATACACGCTGGAATTTCTCTCTCAGGCAAGAATCAGACGTTTCAACTCAAACATTCTGTGTCTGTCGTGACTGGGGCTGCGTGTTTTGCTCACCTCTCTGTTTCTGTCTAACAGGAGCACCTGGTCTACACTATCGGAGAGAGTGCCGCTTTAGGCTCTGCTGGTGTAGTTCTTTGGGGTGACCACGCTCTTTCCAAAACTCAGGTACAATAACTGACTTCTCCATTTGATGTAATTGGCTGTAATATTGAAAGTGAGGATGTTACATTTCTCACTGATGCCTACAAGGGTCTTTGTTTTATAAGTTACGCTTTTAAAAAATGTTGAAAGTTACACACAGGAAACTGTATTGCACAAAAATTACTGAAATGAAAAAGAAAAAAAACTTACTTTAAAACTTCCTTACTTCATATTCAAGCTCTTTAGTTTTAAGGTCTGTTTGGAATCACTCCACTGTATATTTCATTTGTTACATCTCCGCAACAAGGCCTCTCAATCCTGCTGAACACACACAGTACTGGTAAAAAAGACAGTACACCCTTTTTCAACCATAAGGATTTAAGTTTAAGTTTCAGGACATATTCAAATCATCCCGCTCTTAGCAGGTCTTAAAGTTAAGTGAATACAACCTCAGATGGAAAACAAGATATGATATATTGCACCAGGTCATTATTTATTTAACAAAAACGAATCCAAAATGCAGAAGCAGTGTGTGGAAAAATACAAAATATCCTTACTGCTACCTAAGAAATTGAGATGGAGAATAAACTTACACTTGATTAGCTGATCATCAGCAGTGTTGGGAAGGTTACTTTTAAAATGTATTCCACTACAGATTACAGATTACATGCCCCAAAATGTATTTTGTAACGAATTCTGAATACTTTGGATTACTTGATATATTATCATGCTTTTTTTTTTCTTTTTTTTTTACAACTACATGAATGTATTGCTGTGTGATTTATTACTATTACTGAAGACTACTCGCCATACCAATACCAACTAGATTTTTAAATCTTAATATAAAATGAGTAACAGTAGGGTGGACATTAGGGTAAGGCTACACTTTTTGCAGCGATCTCGTATAGAAAACTATTCCACGCGTATATAAAACAGGTCCGCAGCTCCGAACCGTAGTAAAGGGACCTCTGGCTAATACGTTAAGTTTTGGGCTCATAGACAAAAACTCGCTTTACTTTGTTGTCTGGGTCAACTTTGCTAGCGAGAGACAGAGAGAGCTGTTGAAAGACTGCTCCAACGGAACTTATTGTTTCGGAGGAAAACACGAACACAGTGTACAGTCGAGTCTTAATAGCTTACTTACAACTGGGCTCGTCAGGCACTCTTTTTGGCTGCAGTGGTTATTATTATATTTACATGCTTCCAGCTCCCGTTTCTGCTCAATGACAACTCGAACTTTTCGACTATCCTTTTTCTCCCTCCTCGCGCTCACAGATACATAACGAGTATGGCAGTCCATTCTCCCTGCAGCACGGACTACACTGCCCATGAGGCTACATTCTTTAGGGCGATGCCTGTAACACTCTGCTATTGCCTTCATATTAAATCATTTTTGTGAATAATTTTTGTAAAATAATTCTTCACGTCATTATGTGGGCCGCAAATAGAGGTGACATGGGCCGCCAGATTGACACACAGGCATAAGAGCCTCTAAATAGGCTACGCGTGTTGTTTAGGTTTCCTCCGGTGTGGAATTACCAAAAATAGAGAGAGCATAGCCTAATATATGAAACAGGAAAAGACCTCCGTGTAATCCATTTATTTCAACAAAGTAACTATATTCTGAATACCACCCTTGTAACTGTAATGGAATACAGTCACTCATATTTTGCATTTAAAATACGTAACGGCGGTACATGTATTCCGTTACTCCCCAACACTGATCATCAGCAAGCGTGAGCACCTGTGTGAAAGCAGAAGTTTTACCAATTTAATGGTCTGGAGCAAGACCCAGAGGTCAGACTGTGCAATGCTGATGAGAGAAATTGCAATAAAAAAGCTTCATTTCCTGAGCTTCATTTCAGACTTCACAGGCTTCCATCAGCTTATTAAATGTTCAAGTTCATGACTGTGCAATTAGAAAAAGACTGAACAAGTATGGTTGTTTGAAAGGGTTGCTAGGAGTACCTGTTCTCTCTCTGAAAGAATGTTTCGGCATGTTCGGCATGTGCCCGCAAACCACGTTGAACTGAAGCAACATTGTAAAGAAGAGTGGGCCAAAATTCCTCCAGAACCATGTGAGAGACTGCTAAAGTCATACAAACAAAGCTGTTTCGGCATGTTCTGGAACAACGTCCTTGATGGATTGTTAAAACCACACACTGCATATCAGCACAAATACCTCACACCAGCTGTCAGGCACAGTGGTAGAGGGGTGATACGACACCTTGCAGTCACTGAGTCGATCACGAACTCCTCTTCACACCAAAATATTCTAGCGTCTAAAACTTAGTTGAAACTGGGTCATGCAACAGGGCAATGATTCCCAGCAAGGCAGCAATCTCCTACAGAGTGGCTGAAAAAGAAGAGAATGAAGGTGTTGCAATGAGAATTAAAAGAGCTGTAAACAAGTGCCCGCAAACCACATTGAACTGAAGCAACATTGTAAAGAAGAGTGGGCCAAAATTCCTCCAGAAGCATGTGAGAGGCTGCTAAAGTCATACAGAAAGCTATTACTTCAAGCCAATGCTGTTAAAAGTGGTTCTCCAAGCAGCTGAATCGTGGGGTGCACTTAGCTTTTCACACGTGTCTTCTGCATTTCGCTTTAGTTTTTGTTAAATAAACAACATGGTGCAATATGTCACATGTTGTTTTTCATCCAAGGTTGTAGTTACGTGATTTTAAGACCTGCTAATGTCTAGATAATGCTTTTATCCTATCCTGATATTTAGAAACCTCAGAAATGTCAGAGGGCGTACTTTCTTTTTTAATGTGACAAATATGTGGTTTCATTTTATAAAAGGAGCTCTCTGCACAGCTGGACACTGATATTTGGCAAACATTACTCAGATGGGAGTAAATGAAGCATTTACTGGAGATTTTTTTTTTTCAGCTGCAGATTAAAGTGGTTTAAACAAGAGGTCTTTTGTATATGGGACTGAGTCAAAAGAAGCCAGAGCGCTTGTTTATGTGTTCATGAGCATCACTGGGTAAAAAACAAGGTGGCACATTGTGTTTTTAACAGTCTATTGATGATGATGCTAGAGTGGCGCTTTTCTCAGCACCTTTTGCTTTGACCACTGAAAATATCTTTAACAGTCTTAATGTATTTTTTTCATGCTGAGTAAAACAGGACATGTTACCTGCTCTGAAATACGTCTTTGTTCATTTTGCAATAGCTTTAGACTAAATAACATAGTCATGCTGTTACCTGAGCATGCATATAGCTTAAAGATTCTGTTATGTAAAGTTGCATTAAAGCTTTTATTGGGCATTCTTCTGCACACCCCTGGTTTATCATATCCTGTTTCTTTCCTGCTTTCAGGCTACCTGTGCTGCCGTCAAGTCCTACATCGATAACACTCTGGGTCCTTACCTGGTAAACGTGACATCAGCGGCTACGCTTTGCAGTCAGACCATGTGTTCCTCTCATGGACGGTGTCAGAGGAAGGATCCACAGTCGAAGGCCTACCTCCACCTTGACCCTGCCTCGTGGAAGGTGGTGTCCAAGAGGAAACCAAATGGATGGAGGAAATACAGAGTTTTAGGACATTTGCAGCCACGTCATGTAAAGCTAATGGAGTCTGAGTTTCAGTGCAGGTGTTACGCTGGATGGAGGGGTCAGAGCTGCTCTGAGCCTGTTCAGCTATAAGACTTAGGCACTTTTGAAACTAGTAGCTAATTAATGGCTTCTTAGCAGTGAATGTATCAAGATACACTAAGACACTTTATTAGGTACACCTGGTTAGTACCTGGCTGGACCCTCTTCTGCCCTAATTCTTTGTGGCATAGATTCAACAAAGTGCAGGAAACATTCCTCAGACATTTTGGTCCACACTGACACGATAACATCACGCCGTTGCTGCCGATTTGTCAGCTGCACATTCATGGTGCAAGCCTCTGATATCACCACATTCTAATGGTGCTCTTTTGGATTGAGATCTGGTGACTGTGGAGGCCGTTTGAGTGCACTGTCATGTTCAAAAAACTAATTTGAGACGATTTGAGCTTTGGGATATGAAAGCATCTATCAGAATATGAATACACTGTTGTCATAAAGGGATAGCTATGTTTAGCAACAAAACTCAGGTAGGCTACGGTGCCCAAAATGTGCTAAGAGAAAAGCCCTCACACCACTATTTCATCACCACCAGCATGAGCCGTTCATACAAGGCAGGATGGATCCATGTTTACATGTTGTTTACACTGACTGTACCATCCCAGTTTCACAGCAGAAACTGAGCCTTGGCAGACCAGGCAAAACTTTTATAATCTTCTATTGTCCAACTCTGGTGACCTTATTCGAATGGTACCCTTAGTTTCCTATTCTTAGCTGAGAGGAAGAGCACCCGGTGTGGGCTTCTGCTGCTGCTTCCGTTTCAAAATTTGACGCGTCATGTGTTCAGGGATGTTCTTCTGCATACCTTGTGCTAATGAGTTGACCTCTGACCTCCAGTATCAACAAGAAATTTTCCCCCAGAGTAACTGCTGCTCACGGGATATTTCCTCTTTTTCAGATCATTCTCTGCAAACCTTAGAGATAATTGTGTGGGAAAATCCCAGAAGATCAGCAGTTTCTGAAACGCTCAGGCTAACCTATCTGGCACCAACAACCATGCCATGTTCGAAGTCACATAAAATCACCTTTCTTCCACATTCTGATGCTCAGTTTGAGCAGCAGGTCGTCTCGACCGTGTCTGCATTCCTAACGAGGCATTATCCCATGCATCAATAAGCTGTTAGACAGATGTACCTAATAAAATGTCCGGTGATTGTATATTATTATTTGAGTGACAGAAATCAGCTTTAAACTTTTATGCACTACAGTTTTTACAGAGGGTTTCCTCTACTGCAGTATTTTGTTTTAGTACTTTGAACTTTTCTTACTTTGTCCATAATAAGGTTGGGCACAGAGTCTGAATTCAGTGCTCACTTTCTGTTCTTTAATGGTATTTTAAGGCGTGTTACTAGGGGTAAAAAAAAAAATCTCAGCTTATCAGTGAAGGAGCGCTGGTGTCCAGCAGCTGAACAATGCAGTATTTGTATACTCAGAGACATTCTGATTTCATTTAGGGAAAAGGTTTGATTGCAACTCCGTCCTGTATTAAACAAAGAAGCAAGAAACAACTTACTGTCAAGACTGAGCAACAATTTAAAGTTGAAATATTTAAATACATTATTATGAGTTCTTTGGGGGTAAAAACAGTTACAAATTAGTGCTCAGAGAACACTATTATAATCTCTTTAAACATTTGTGCAAGGACCAATTAATGCATGAAACCTGCGGGTGTTCTCCTGGATTTTAAACGTCAGAACTGGATGATCATGGCTGCTGTAGCACCATCTCTCTTTTCCTTGATAGTTTATTTCCATAATAAAGTCATATATATTTGATACTTTACATTAGCGTCTCTTGAAATATAATTTCTGCACGTTAAACCTGATCTCACCAACATTCCCAATGTTGGTGGAACTACTACATGTTGATAGTGCATGACACCAGACCATGGACTTGCTCACCTAAATAGTCAAAAGAAGGAACACTAGAGTCCTACTCAGACAGCTGCAGGGCAGGGCTGCGGCTGCAAGAATGCAATAAAATACAAGTTGAAGCAGCTCATCGCAGTTTTCTACCAGGAATATGAGATCAGAGACGGTGCACTCATAAAGTGAAGTAATTGTGACCCCAACTGCTGATTAAAATCAATCAACTGGAACCAAGAACTACTCACAGAATATGTTTGGTTCTTCCAAAAGGTTAAAATAATGTGCAGAAAAACTGAAAATCCATCTCACAATATAAAACTTATTTTGTGACGAGTATAGAACACATCAACATTAATAATGTTAAAAAGTACATCGGGGCTCTTTGTTTTGTAGTTAACATTTATGCTTTCTCTAAACTTTTCTATGTAAAATTTATACCTTTATACCAGCAGGTGGTGTTGCTGGACAACTTACTAACAGCAAAAGGGCATCAGACATCAAGGTCAAAGCTCTGAGTGCTAGTAATAACCGAAAAAGTCAAATAAAAGCAGAAGTAAAGCCCGGTTTGGCTGTGTATGTCAGGTTCTGATAAGTTTACATCCGTGCTGTGCAACAGCTGGGGTGCCCACTATGAACTGAACCCACTATAACACAGAAGCAAAGGGAGCAAAGAGGTGACCTTGATTGATTTAAGAGTGGCATGTACAATTCTGCCTTATCTGATAGAAACGGCTGCCGCAAACTGGTGTCACTGATGGTAATTTCCCTCCTCTGTCCCCCGAGGCTCAGTATACCAGAAGAATAGACTCCTACAAGGCCCCACTGTTTCCCATTTCCGGCTTTATCATAACTGGCTGGATTGTGAGGAAATGAGAAGAAGATGGGTGCTTATTTTGAAGGCGCTGGTGAGTCTGTGCTTTTTGAACATCATTTTGGCCTTCATAGGTCATTTTGCAGTTGTTTTCTAAAGAAGACAGCTGCCTCGACTGGTTTTCAGCAACCAAGGACAAAATTGAATCTATCTCCTTAAACGCTGTGTTTACCTGTAGTTACCTTATAATGACAGTCTATAATAACTGGTGGTGACAGTGGGAAGGAAAAACTCCCTTTTAACAGGAAGAAACCTCCTAATGATTACACGAATAAACCTAAATGCAAGTTTGAAGTCCGGCCTTAAAAGTAAAGATCATTGTATCAAAGTCATTTAAGTATAAGAAAGAAAAATCTGATTCAAAATAAAGTCTTGAATTTTAGGCAGACTTTTACACAGTGTTACCATCCCTCCATTTTTCTGATTAAACCATAGTTGTGCTGGTTCTGATTCCCAAAACCCTTCTTTGCTAAAGTTATACAGGTCACAAGTCCTTCACTTTATAAACAGCCTTTTCAAATCCTTTAAAAAAACAAAAAACAAAGACCCTTTAAGTATCTGTACATTCACGGAGGCCGTTCTGATCACTTTATCTGCTTCGAGCGGTCGTTTCCTCTTCCTACACCCTCCATCAGGTCTCTCAGGCCCTCTATTTCTCTATCCTCTCATCTCTGCATTTCTTCATTTTGGCGTCTCGCTCTGTCACCCTTTCATGGTCACGTCTCCCCTTCCCCTGCTGCTCGGTCTAGAGATCGTCTCGCTTGCGCTCGGTTTAATAACTGTTTTGTCACGCTCGGTCTCTGTGTCCTTCAGAGGAGTCGACTCTCTGATCAGGTTTCTTAAAGATCTGATGCGCACTTGTTTACATGATTTATGTGTGTATATGCCACCCCGGCCTCGGCATTGTGCACTCATCGGGCTGTTAAATGCTGAATAGTCACCGTGAGAATGTGAAGAGAAGAATGATGCCACATTAATGTGTGCGTGATAAATCTGCGTGCTTAACAAACAGCTGAAGTCAGGGGAAACACGGATTCTGGTGCTGTGTATAGGGGGAGGGGAAAGTGCTATGTTAGAGAGCAGAGGGAGGAGTTTGGGTTTGATGGAAGGGTCAACAGAGAACAAGTAGCACTGATTTCTTTGAACCCTAATTATAACTAAGAAGTAATCATAGCCATGACGAAGGTTTGTTTTTCTGCAGAAATATGAGCATTTAATTTTTCCTACCATTAAGCAAATGGCTTTCCAGTCTAAACTTGGCTACAGAATAAAAGCTTCTTTTTTTTAAAATTTTTGAACCAACATTGTTACATTGTTACCCTATTTAAATATATAAATGCTAGTTTGTTTCATTTGAAAGACTCAGTACCAAATATGCAGTGACTTTTTGGACTCTGAGCAGTTTTTTAAAATTGTTTTTTTTAAAGATTTGTAATACATTAATTTGTGATCTTGTCAACAGAGCTGCTTTTTATGTCAGAGATTTTATAAAAATCAAGTGTTGACAAGCAGCACATGAACTTTTATATCCTTTAGGCAAACATCACCTCTCATGTGCTGTCTCACGGCTCTATTTCAAAGTAAAAGGAGCTCATAATGAGCGAGCAGGCTGTAAAACCTGATGGAGAGCTGTCTTTGAATCACCTTTTATAACAACTCTTTGTAACTAAATGTAATCAGAGCAGTGAATCGGAGACATAAAATGAAAGGCTGAAAAAGCAGCACGCCGGGGAGGTCACCGCGTCCTATCTCGAAGGAGATGCAGTTTTGATATCTTTCCACTCCAAGCTTGCTCGTCCACTGGCGGACTCACAACCAGGCCACGTCACGCAATAGCGATGATTGATGCATTCGCACGTGAACTAGTGTAAAGATAATACAAGGATGTACAGCAACTTGATGTGTTTTATGTGCACATTTGCACATAAAACACACCAATGTGATATGAAATGTGTTTCTGCGTTATTGCCGTTGAAGATTTGCTTTCTGTGCTGTACACCTCCTGACGAGAGGTGACCTGACAGACTGCCACGTGACTTGTCGTGCGACGGGCAACACTGTGCTCAACCTCAGTCCCTGCCCCGCAAGACCCCATCAGAGCTCAGAGAATATCATTCAAAAGCAAGAGGAAACTCACATTCACACACTTACTATACAAAGGTGGCTCCTGCCAAAGTCACACAATAACTGTGTGTGTCCGGGGGCCACTCAGGTGGAAAATTACACTGCCCAATCAATCGCTAATACAAAGTATTTCCTCCGGCAGGGGCCAATCAAACGCTCACAATATGCCTTCTCCTTGAGACAACGGCCAATCAGTTGCTCACAATGCTTGCCACTGTCATGTTGATGCTGATAAAATGTAATTATTCTCTGCTTTTCACACACACATATTGATGACACAGGGCAGTGATGAATGTGACAATAAATAAATGCAAGCTAATAAGAAAATAAGTGAGGAAATGGAGGAAGAGAAAGCATTTTTTCAGCACCGATGGCCTTTCAGTTTGTAATTAATTCAAATATGATTTTTTTTTCTGCAAGCATATAATCCATTTCAGCATTTTCACATTCATTTTATAGGATTTGATCTTGGCTCATTTGAATAAACATTTTGCTCCATATTAGTCTGGGTAATGAAGTGGATCTCAGAAGAAAAATGCTTTTGTTATGAGAGTGGCACAAAGGAGTGTCACACTGGTCAGCTCAGCAGGGAAATTGCTGATTGGATAGCAGATTCCATCTAATGCAGAATACTAACGACTAATACCCCCCTGCCGTTCTTTTTGACAAAGTTTGATTGTCAAGAATGATGAAAATGGGGTTGTTTAAGCAGGAAGTGGGGATTCAAAACTCTGTTCTTTGGTCACAGAGTTTTTATTTATTAATGGAATTTGCTAAAATCTTTTATGGCATCCGCAAGATAAACATGTAGAGTTGTGTTCAGAAGTTTACATATACTCATCATGGGTATGCATTCTTTTGGATTTTCTATAATGAACACAGGATCAAATGTATACATAAGGTCCCACTAATATTTGGTTAAATGGCTCTTAGCTCCTTGCACGTCCACCAGGCTTTGGTAGCAATCAACAAGCTTCTGGAATAATTGCAGCTGGATATTTGACCACTCTCCTTGGTAGAAATATTAGAGTTCATTTAAACTGGTTGGTTTACTGATCCAGACTCAACTTTCAAGCACAGTCAACACATTTTCAATAGGGTTGAGGTCAGAGCTGTGGGAAAGTCATTCCAGAAGCTTAATGTTAGCCTGTTTTATCTACTCCAAAACCAGTTTTGATGTGGCTTTGCGATCATTGTTCAACCATGTTTCAACCGTGTAGCTGTTCAGCTGAGGTGAAGTTGAAGAACTTGGAGTTAGTTCTCCTTCTTAATTATTCCATCCACTTTGTGCAATGTACCAGTGCCAATGGCAGCAAATCAGCTTCAGAGCAGGATGCTACCGCCAAATATCTCAATTTTTGTCTCATCTGACAACAAAACTTGTCCATGTGGGCAACTGCAAATTTCAGTCGATTTTGAAGGTGTAAATTTTGAACAGGGACTTTCTTTGTGGCGCCTTCTTAGTCCATGATGATGTAAAACTCACATCACTTTGGACAGTGACACTGGTATTCAAGAAATTTCCAGTTCATGGCAGGCTTCAGCCTTGGTGGTTCATTAGTGGTGAGGGTGACACTTTGGGTCTTCTTATGGGAAGAAGGGAAGGGAAGGGCCATGGGAAAGTTGCGACACATCTAAATGACTTGTACATACAATAGTTTGAATGGATGATTTTGGAATCTGCAGTAGTTTAGAAATGGCTTCAAGAGACTTTCACAAATGTAAACCTACAATTCTACTTCCTTGGATTTTCCCATTGTTCCCAGTTGTCAATCACGATCACAAATGAGATGCTAATAGGTCTTGGTCTTGTCAAATGAAAAGACAAACTTTTGACATTGTGTAGATTCATACTTGTGCACCCAATTCTTGTTTTTTTTTTACAGTCTTTAAAGACGTATTTGGTGCAATCATTCTACTCTGAAAAAAGAAACAGTTTAAGGAGATCATGAAAAGTCCAAACTCACTGTACAACAACATTCATGCCCATGATGAGTGTATATAAACTCATAATGTATGTAGAAACATACATGGAAGTCATCATACTTTTGGCTACTCATGCTACGAGTCTGTTTTTCATGGCTTGTCAGAGACCTCTGAAATTCCCTGATAGAGATCAATATTTCACACTTTTTTGTTTGAAACACCCCGACAACCCATCATCACCAATCAAGTTCATGATGTCAGCGGTGTATTTGCCTCGAAAACCCCACTGCCCTCATTTAAGAATCACTTCCCCTTTTTTCTGCTGTTACAGTCACACAAATCCATGTCTGTAACTGTAAATCCTGTTTCAAGATTGGTTTGGAAAAACCTGGCTGCACTGAACTGACCTTTAACAACTACTGCAAGCCAGACTCTCTCACCCCACATCAGTGGTGTATTGCAGTGGTGGATAAATGGAAACACAGCTGTCCAGGTTCCAAAGTGATTTTCCAAAGAGGTAGAGAGATTTTCCATTTTCTTTGGAGGAAGCTCCTCAGGTGTCCACATACTTTTGCCCCTGATATAGAGGCCCTAAGTAAAACTAACTAAAACATCAGTCTTGCCTACACATTTGTGGAAGCGTTGAATTTTCTTTAGGAAGACTCTGGCTGAACTAAAACAAGGGCGAAAAACTCACCTCTTTCTGTTTCTCCCATATTCACAAGGAGTGCAGAGTTTTATCCCAAATACTCTTCTTGATGCAGTGCTCCCTGGGATTTAATAGGATCCTGATCTTGAGTTGGGAACCTTTCGAGTTTTAGGTGAATGCATTAATCATTACACTTTTTAAACACAGCAGTCTCTCTTGTTTCATGTTTCTATTATGTGCTGAAATTCTCAAATGCATCTTCTAATTCAGACCTTCCCAAAGTGTGGGGCCCGCCCCCTAGAGGGGGCGCAGAGCCATTGCAGGGGGGGCGCGGTGTGAAAAGGGGGGAAAAAAAACAAAATGCTTGGACACTGCTAGCACGGGGCGCCCACAGAAACGCAAAGCAGGAGATGAAGCATCGCTGAATATGTTTCCAAACCAACTTCATTCTAAGCCAAAGACT